CCCCCGCCGCAATTAAATTAGCCTCGACCCGACTCCAAGCATGCCCAATGCCCCCTTAGATGTCTTGTTCCAGAAGCACTTTGCAGAATGCAGCTCAGCCATCTCCCAAGAACAGCAGGAAAGGGCTGACCTACAACAATGTATACAGCGCGAAGCTCGTGAGAACTACAAACTGAGTCACGTAGGCAACCTCGTTCCCCAACTACTACACATGTTCCCGACTCCCGTTACCGACTCCCGTTACCGACTCTGACTCCAGTTTCCGACTCCAGTTTCCGACTCCCGTTGCCGTTTCCAAATGGCATTTCGCCCCCCATCTTTGGTCCTTGACGGCCCATGTGTCTGTTGTAGAAACTCCAAAGAGTGCCGCGCACGCATTCGATTGCAAACACACTCTCCCGTCGTGGCAGCATGGGTGAGGAATTTTACGACTTCGAAGAAATGATTTCTAGTGAGGACGACTTGGATCGGGAGGACTTGGATCGGGAGGAGCATTTTGGTGATGAAGATGTTCGCACATCGACGGCTTCTGCCCAAGATTCTATTGACGGCCGTGCACGGACGATGTCGGAAGTGGGAAGTCAGGGCGAAGCGAGCAAGTGTGGAGGGACACGGCCGTCGAGCGCCGTTGGGTCCTCTGCGGGCAGTTGCCCGAGAAATAGCCGGAATACTGTCCTAAACGACAGCCCGTCCGGGAATGAGGGCCCGCCGTTGGGCAACGCTGACGAAAGTAAAGAGCTTCCGGAAGAGCAGGATTATTTGCATAACCCCCCGTCAGGTGAAGTGCAGAAGCTGGGTCTTGAACGCCCCACCTGTCTGTTCCGAACGCAGTTACCGAAGCCGCGTACGGAGATGAAGACTTCGGTGTGGTCGTTGTTGAAGGATTTCGTGGGGCGTGATTTAAGTCGGATTGCGTTGCCTGTGACGTTCAATGAGCCGACTTCATTTTTACAGCGACTGGCAGAGGACTACGAGTATTGTGGGCTATTGGAGTTGGCCGGGACAAAAACGGATAGTCTAGACCGACTATTACTGACGACTGCTTTCACTATAACACCCTGGCAGTCAGCGGTAGGTCGCACATATAAGCCATTTAACCCGCTGCTAGGAGAAACTTATGAACTAACTCATCGTGGCTTCCGATTCCATGCCGAACAAGTAGGCCATCATCCGCCTGTTACCGCCTATCATGCACAAGGCAAGCTCTTCGAAAGCTATGGTCACATGGTTATCGATACCAAGTTCACGGGGAAGTCACTCGAAGTCCAGTTGGTCGGGCCCACCACCATTCGCATCCGCAAACCGACCGACCAGAGTTCGGGATGTCCCTCGCGACCGGCATCTCACAACCAACAAAACGAAGGTGCAAACCACCGTCGTGAAGGAAGCCACGGTCGTGAAGGAGACCGCTCTGGTGAGCGTTCACTCGAGCGTTCCAGTCAAGACTCAGATAGGAGGTCGAGTGAGAGGTCGAGTGAGAGGTCGAGTGAGAGGTCGAGTGAGAGGTCGAGTGAGAGGTCGAGTGAGAGGTCGAGCGAGAGGTCGAGCGAGAGGTCGAGCGAGAGGTCGAGTGAGAGGTCGAGTGAGAGGTCGAGTGAGCGTTCACCTGCGGGCGACACAGCTTGCGGTTGTTGGGAGACGTATTCGTACCGACGGCCACGGATGGTAGTGAACAACATAATTTTTGGCAGGATTTCGATTGATGTGTCTGGCACGTATACGTTAACGAATCATACGACAGGTGAGTTTTCGATTCTTGACTACCCACGAAATGGTTGGTGGGATGACTCAGTACACGTTGTTCGGGCAGCGGTATTCACACGCGAGGGTGAATGCCGATATCTTATTGGCGGGAGTTGGTCGAGTCAAATTTTCTACCAACGAGTCCTAAATTACCGTGCCGCTACCGGAGAAATGTTCGAAGAGGGACTCGAAGATGAAGAGATCAAGTATCCACCCCGCCCGATCGACTTTGTAATCAATTGGAAGGAATTAGAAGCATGCACTACTGGGCCAAAATGCAAGCTCTGGACACCTGACACACGTCCGGATTTCTCTGCCTCCTTCTACAGTTTTGGCCGAATGACTTTCGAACTTAACGACCTCAATCCCGACTACTACGACCTCTCTGCCGTCGAACCACAACTCCTCGAACGACTCCGACTCCCACCACCAGCCTCCACGCAGTCTATAACAGAGCAAGCGACCACGACTGGAGCCGGGCATGTTGCGGAGATCGGGCATATTGCGGACCACGCTATTCCTGGCCATCCCGCTGACGACGACCCCAGTGGGCATGAGGTTGACCACCCCGCTGAACCAAGTCCCGCCCTGATCCGGTTGCCGCGCACTGACTCGCGGTTCCGGCCAGACCAACGTGCTCTCGAACAGGGCGACGTGGACCGCAGTAACGCGGAGAAGAAACGGCTGGAAGAGAAACAGCGTGCCGCTGCGCGGGTCCGTGGTGGCACAGAAGAGTGCTATCGGCCGCGTTGGTACGGTCTCGCCCTCGATCGTATCACAGGCGAATCGACCTACGCCTTCGATCACTCGTACTGGGACCCCACCCAGAAGCAGATAGATCTTCCTGACATTTTATAACTAGTAAAACCTGCATGGGCTGTAAGTGGGTACTACGCTACACACCAACCCCACCGTTGTACACCCCCCATACTGACCTGGCGTCTGGTCCACTTTGTGGTCGTCACACTTGGTGGTCGCGACACTCTTCCCTCAGATGAACCCTGCAGCAGGTGTTACAGAGTACTCTCCACTGTCCAGTATCAGTGATGACGAGCCGACAGTCGCACCAGTGTCGCAAGCCCCACATTGGGCGGATGGACTGTCTCCAGTTTCAACCGACTCCGTAACGCCTGCCTCTCTCCCTTCCGCCAGCACCCACACCCCACACAGAGTGCACACACAGTGTGCACACCCCACACACACCCCACACACATGAAACATCCTGATCAACTGCAGCAAGGAAATGAGAGTGGCGAGTGTGACCTGAGCGGGCTCTCTTTACAAGCCATTGGAAATCGGCCGGTTCCTGCCAAATTATTTTTGAAGGATGATGACCATCTACTGCAGATCCAAGTGTGCTGGGCCTGCAGACTTGAGTTATGCCGCACAGCGGATAAACAGCTTATGAGAATAGGCGGTGCTGATTCTCCGACTTTAAAGATTCCACATTTCGTCGTGTCTAGTTGGTCAGATGTGGCGTCCGCAATCCGAAAAGATAAGTAAGCGATCGACGTGTGTATGTATACGTGTGTGAACACATACATACGTAAACATATGTGTGTGAACACATATATACATTGCCTTTTAGTGGAGTGGAAGCTCGCCATATGGTGTTCTGGTTGAAGCAATCTGTGTTTGAGGAAGGTCCAGCTTCATCGTCTTTGTCTGATACGGCATCAACTGCGACGACATCTACATCATGTTTTGATACGTTGTGCGGGTCTTCAGCGGAAGAGTATGCAAAGGCAACGGATTTGCAAAATTCCCCCATCTTCCCTGTGGAGGAGGCATGCTTACGTTGTCGCCGACCGGCATTGCTTCCTGTAATTTTAGACGACTACATTGAAACACGTCTTGCCGTACAATCGGCTCTCATACAGAAACGGAAACTTCTTCAAGAGAGTCCTGTCCTTGCCAGTGCACCATCAACGCCGTTTTCCAGACCTACCGAACACAGCAATAACTTGGTCAAGAGACATTTAACTGAGAGTCCTCCCGATAATAGGAAGCCCGTACTAAATCTCTTCAATGCTATCGGACTCAGCGATTGGAAACCACGTCCGTATAACGCCAGACAATATAGGTAATTCATCTCATCAACTTTATACCCACCAGTCGTGCGTTCAATACCCACCATCTTCACAACAATATGAAAGAGTGTATTTTTAGGACGTCCAACAACATAAATTCCGGTGTCCATTGGAGCCCGGGAGCTCCAACCACCGCCGACTCCCCAAAGCCTCCCCCCCGCCGTCACATTAGAAGACAGGCTGGTAGGAGAAAGCAATCGAACGGAGACTACATCGCGTAGGGGAAAGGAAGGGACGGAAACATCTTACCTCACGGAAAGACTGACTCGCCTGCGGTGACCATGGAACTGCTCTGAAGGATGACCTGCTGAGGCTGCGTCTGACCTGAATAACAGTCTTGACCTGCTGAGGCTGCGTGTGACCTGAAGAACAGTCTGACCTGAAAAACAGTCTGACCTGAAGAACAGTCTGACCTCAGACTGGGTCTGACCTCAGACTGGGTCTGACCTCAGACTGGGTCTGACCTGAAGAAGGGCTGTAGACCGGTACCTAGCTGTAGAGGAACCTGTACAGATAACTGTTCTCGCAAGACCAGGATCGCCGTGACAGTTTAAGGACCGTGACAGCATGATTTCAGCTTAGATCATTTGGGGCTTCATGAGTTGGAGAAAAGGACAAACTGCTTTCCGAGAAGCTCATGCATCAAGTCCGTCTTATATTGTGAGCGTTAGCCCCAGCTCTTTACTACGAGCGCTGCTCGTTAACAAGTTCAGCTGCCGTGGCGGAATTTCAATCTCCCGATCTACCTCATTATTGCGATCTACCTCATTATTGCGGTAAACCAATTCGTAAACCCCCCTTTCATTGACATAACTGTCATTGGCACACGTCTCTGTCAATTAGTGTCGTTGGCACCAATGTCGTTGGCACCAATGTCGTTGGGCCCTTTCTGTGCCACCGACCGACCGACCGACCGATTTGGTCCCTCGAACCGACCTCGCTTGTTTGACAGCGAACCGACTTAGATTCTGGGCTTTTTGCGGGCCTCGAGATCGCCCCTCTCGAGATCGTCCTCTACACGGACGGAACTACTGTCCATCGGGGCCCCAGCGGAAGGCGACAGGCCCCCACCAGTCGCCGGCAGCAATTGACGACACCATAATAAACACTCCCATAGAATTTGCTTCCCTACAACAAAACCAGTAAGGGGGGGAGGGGGAGAAATGTC